TATGGCCCACGGAGGCTTATTATTTGGTCTATGGGTCTCAGACTGGACCTTTATGCTGCATACTGTGCATGCTACCACCCTTGCATGCTGCATACAGTGCATGGTACTAGGTCCAGCATGTGTGTGGCACATGGGCCCAGTCTGTGGGCTCAATCCAGTGCTCAGACTAGCCCCATGACACTCATCCAGGCCACAGACTGGCTCCACATGACTCAACTGGTCAGCAGAGTTTGATACCCTTGCTATACATTACAATGTCCCCAAACAATAGCAAACTGTGAAAAACTTAATAAGTAGACATAACATACCTCAACATGTTAGGATTCATCTGAATATGAGGGGAAAAATAGAGACTGTTAAATAGAATATCAGTTAGTTTTCTCTAGTCCTGACTGAGGAACCAATTGGCAAGTCAGGAAATCAGAGATTTTGTATCTTCCATCACAGCTTTAAAAATGTATTTTGCAGACCGAAAAAAAAATTGGAACAGACTTAGGTTCAGGTGGGACCGTGTGATGTAGTTCTTACTTCTGGCAGCTTTGACACCAACTGCTGTCACGTATGAAAAAAATGTTAGAACAGCCTTAATTCCTAAACCAAAATAATAAGAAGAACAATGGAAAGAGGAATAATACTATGTTCTTACCTGGAAGATGGCTCAAAATGTTTCCATCAATATACTTAAGCTTGTTTCCACTTAGAGCAAGTTGCATTAGTCTTGGGGTATTTTTGAAAACATCTCGGGGAAGCCTTTCAATATGATTATTTCTCATATACAACTGTTGTAGATTTGAGAGACCTTCAAATACAGCTGCATTTACTGTTTTCAGCAAGTTGCTGTCCAGTACTATGACCTCCAATTTAATCAGAGGCTTGAAGACTCGCCCAGGAAGGCTTTTTAGTTTATTTTGCTCAAGATTGAGGAGGTGCAGTTGGCTAAGGCCAATGAAGGATCTTGTTGAAATCTTAGAAATTATATTAAAGGCCAAATTGAGTGTCTTTAGTGCACTTAATGTCTGAAACGCATTGGCGGGCACAGTAGTAATTCTGTTTAAAGGCATATCTAAATCAGAGAGGTTCAGAAGGCCATGAAAAGTGTCAGGCTTAATTTCTACTAAATGATTTTGACCAAGCATAAGAAAGCGCAAATCTATCAATTCTTGGAATGCTTTGGGTGGAATTTTAGTGATCTGATTTCCATAAAGATTAATTAGTTTCAATTTTCTAACTCTGTGAAAGGCCTGAGGATGTATTAGTTTTATGGAATTGTGCTCCAGGTTGATACTTTCAATGTTCCGAACTGTAGACAGGAATTTATCTGGAAGTTCTTGTAATGTATTGGCCCCTTGGAAAGAAAATAAATCGTTACTTTAAGTTTAGGTGCTCTTCAGTATTATTCTAAAGCTTATGCATTGGCATATAACTACATTGTATTAATCCTAATAGGGTTCATTTTACTCTCTACCTATAAAAGTAGAGCATTCAGGCTTTATTATGGATTAGAGTAACAAAATCCACCTCTGTTCTGAAAGCATTGCACAGCATTCATGTGCAGATGCCACAACCCAAGTTCTACCTCACCTTTAGCATTCTATTTCCATCTGAATGATTAGACTGCTATAGCTACTTGTTCTATCATGTGTTGGAGCTCTAAGTGTAGGATGACTCAAACTTTCTCTGGCTGAGGGTGACCTAGAACCTGGACCTTTCAGCCTCTAGGCAAGTGCCCTGCTCATTAGCCTCCTCGATCAAACAGGTGTTTAGCCTGTTTCTCCTCCAGTTAAATTTTTGGGGATTTACACAGACTTCTGCACTTCCCAAGTAAAATAGGATTTTAAGAAGAAAAAGTGGCTGTACTAACTTCCTCCTGATCATGCTCAGGGGGACAAGTCTAATTGCATAAGTAGAAATAAAATCTAAAATCCTGTTACTGACACTTATGTATCTACTTTATATACTTTGACACCTGAAGATGAAATAAGATATGGACCCAAATGTCCTGTGGCTGTTACTTTATGATCTGGTATAGCAGCTATACACCATCTGCACTATATGGTAGGGCTCAACAGATCTGTGCAGCAAAGAATTCTACATTCTGCTCTCAAGTCCACTCTGAAAGCTGCAGAGGCACCCTTTCGTGGCTGCTTTACTGAAGTCCTTTTAATTGCACACACTTACCCACAAGGCTGAGATTATGTGGAGGGTCTTCTGCAGGCCATGTACATAAATAAACAGTTTGACTACATATGTTTTATTTTTCTCAAGAGTGAAGTATACCAGTAATTTACATAACAAGCCTGTTTACTGCGTCTTAAACAATGTAACGATTCTGCACTAAAATCTTAGCTTATTTTGGCTTCTTTCTGCTTTCTTCTATTTATAGGAGTTTATTTAAGTCACTCAGAATACATCTTATTTTGTATTTTATGTATTTATGTTAAACTTGTGTATTGAAGCATTTTTAAAAACTAGAGGTAAATGCATATATTGAAACACATTTATTTAACATATAAACACCAAAATTTCCACAGAGGGCATACTTGCATCTTATTGTTTAGGCATCACATATATTTTCTCCCCTAATGATCAAATCTCTTTGCATAAAGATAAAACAAGTATTGTTTTTACTTTAAGGGTGGGAAAATTGCAATGCCGAAAGTTTAAATGGATTCTCTCAGGTCATATAACTCTATGACAGAGTGGGGACTAGAACCCACGTCTCCTGTTTTGTCTAGTGGATTAGGATGCATCTTCTGTCTCTAATTCTTATTAAAAACTTTCAGTAATGTTTTGAAAGCTTTTATTAACTTTAAACAGAGCTTTTGCAAAAAAAAACCCACGTGATCAATGGTTACCTATTCCAAGTAATTGTGGCTTTCTAATATTTATACAGCCATTAACATGTTTTACTCATTTATTTTACCTTAACTGCCCTAAATATCACAAAACATATCACAAATACTTACAAGAGGGAGCAGATGTTACTGTGCTTACCAAATCTTAGGACCCATGTATTCAGAGGCAACTTTTGTGGAACCTCCGTCAGTCCTTTCTGATAACAGTCCACCTCAGTATGGTAAAGATGTGGTCTCTGGGTACAGTTGCACTCTTCAGGGCATGCTTGTACCACATGTGATGCACAGAATATACCAAACAGATATGAGAGGAGTAAATGTAGTTCCATGTCTAGTATAATAGATGTTGACAACTTTCAAACACGTGACCTGATAATTAATATTTTACAGGTGATCCGAGGTGCAGCTAAAGAAACACAGAAAATTGTTATTGATATAGGAAAAATGTGTATGTGAACTTTTTAAATGTAAATAACATTCTGGTTATACACTATAATTTTCTTAAAGGCAAAATAATACATTATACAATAATATTTTAAGGTTCCTCAACTTAGTTATATTTTGATACTTCTAACTAAAACTGAGCTGCGATTGATTTAAGAAATATTATCATTTGAGCAGTCAGCTGAAGTCATATATACACACACACACACCATAAACCATATAGACACTGTAGGAAAAGTATAAATACATCATTTTCTACTATAACAACAAATGAAAACATAGTATGCAATAAACTAGGTACTCCATAATATGTATTAATACATATATACTGTATATACACACATATACACATATATCAAATTTAATTTGTTTTGGTAGTATTTGTCTTAAAATATTATGAGAAATGTTTGACATTCTTAGCTAAACAATTATGCTTACCTTAAAATATCTGAAATAGAAGTCAAACAGGTGTTTTGGTTAATCAGCAATTTCTAGTAAAGGTTCTTTATTACAGTAAAAATTTGGCATTTTACAGACTGAAGGAGAATGTTAACCTGTGCAAGGGTTTTGCTCAAATGTACTGTTTGTGTTTGAGAGTCCCAGAGAGGCAGACAAAACAAGCAAATACAGCCAGTAATAACACATATCAGAAGGAGACATTTACCTGTGAAAGAGCAAATGCAACTACAGCACAAAGTTGCAATAAACATATTATAATTTATGCATAAATTAAACATTTGGGCGGTGATTTGTTTGATCTGGATGTCTTTGGCTGACTTTAGTATTGACTTTTCAGCCCTGTTAAACAGTAGAACTATTACATGTTCTGCAACTTGAGCTAAATATGCCATTTTATAACTGTACTGTAGAAACTGAAGTTTAGTTTTTAGAGTTTTTTTTCAGTAATATGCACCTAGGTTAATAAACATGGCTCTGTGAAGTCAAAGGAGGTATTTGCTTATGTCTGTGAGCTAAACAAAGAGGGTACAGTGAAGAAATAGGAAACATGTAATTTATACTTGTCTGGGTTTGTATCAGGAAATAATGTGACTAATGGATTTTTTTTTACTCATACAAGTATATGTACAGTAACTAATACAGTATAACAGTTAGAATTTTACATTGATCATATTCTCAATATAGTATGAGTCTACATTAAATTTCAAGTAAATTTTGTTTAATACAGAATTGTAAAGAATCCAAGCTCTCAATTCCTCACAAATGATTACAAAAGTAATTCACTAGACTTGATCTCTAATTGAAAGAAATACTCAAGAGTTTCTACCACCTAATCAAACATCCACCTGCTTCTGTAGCTCAGGGGATTTCTTAGAATAGATTGTTGTTCTAAGTAACCAACTCAATAAACATATTAATATATAAAGTTTGGTTCCTACATCTATATTTAGCCATCTTAATAAGTGACCTGAATTTCAAATGTGGTAAGTACCCAACAGTTCTCACTAATTTCAGGGAGAGGTGTCCACTATTTTTGAAAACCAGACTACATATTTAGATTAACTATATCAAAATTTAGGACTATAATTTTGGACATTTCATTTTGAAAATCTACCACTGGGAAAGTTCTATGTCGAGGAAGATTGTGACTCCTCTTTCTGAATAACTTCCAAGATTATAAATATGTTTAACAAGTTGTTCATGTTCTCATTCTGCATCCTATGGTACATATTTTTTATCTAGGTAGTGCATCCAAAACAAGTCCGTGTGACAGAAGCTCAGGAAGTACTGAGGCTAGCTCATCAAAAACTAGCAGAAAAACAAAGAAGTTTAGCCCTGGTGAGACACTTCTCATTATTCCATGCCAACTGTTATTATTTGCAGTGTGTAAGTTTTTGCATGTCCTTTGGTTCTACATGAACATTTGAAAGTTATTTTTATTTCAAAGACATCAGAAGGGAAACACTTATTTACTGGAGAGTTGGAGTGCAACCATAGGCCTTCATTAAATCTATTGCACAATTACTTTGTTAAATTTAGATGGGCTGCATGTGCTAATTAACTATCATGCCTTAAGAAGTGTCCAACCAGTGTAGCAGGAACAGGACCCAGGAGTGACCGTGCTACCCCCTGGTGGCCAAATTACCACTGCCTTATCCTGATTCTAGGTACCCTCCACTATGCCTTGATGTAATTATTAAATTGTGAAAGGGAAGCTGCCTTTTAGTCCTAGAACAAGTCATTGTCCTTCTTTTGCCAGCGGGTCCCCTCTCAGACCTCACTAGCCCAAACTGGTTCTGTTCATAGTTGAGCCCTCCCAGCCCATATGTGCCTTGAGGCACCCATTGCCTTAGGGGCTTATTATGTGGCTCCAAACTGCTCCTTACACCACATCCATGCCTCGCAGGTGTTGTTTGTGCAATCAGTCCCTTGTAGGGGGTCTCAACTGACCTGACCTCTGCCCCTTTTCTCTTTCTGAGCCAGGTAGCTCAGGATCCATTGTGTCAGACCTGGTGTCTGGAATCCAGCCTTAGCCATGCCCTATTGGGCTTGGGCTTACTCCCAGACTTAGGGCCACTGGCTACAGTCTCTGCACCTCTCAGGTGTGCATTTGATCCCTGGCCCATGTCTCTGCCTTTCTTAGGCACTGGACCTTCTGGCCCCAGGCTCTTCCCCTTTTTGGTCTTACTGCCCTCTCAGGCACCTGACTATGCCTTAAGCCTTCCCCCAGCAGGGCTGTCCCCCAGCAGTCCCCCAGCATGTGCCCCTGGGCCACTAATGGCATTTCCAAGCCAAGAAGTGCAGGAACCACACCAGTGCCCCAGGACCAGGGTCAGCAGGGACCCAGGATGGGACAGCAGAAGCATGGAGTGTGCCTGGCAAGAGCTCTATGGAGCCAGGCCAACTCCACCACTCTCCCTATTGGCAGCCCAGCCACATGCAGTCCTGGGGCTTGCGGGGACCACACACTGCTAGGGCTCCATACGCCACAGGCTGTGACCGCCATACCCATGCACCCATACCTCCATGTTCTCACACACCCAGCCAGCCTCCCTCACCATGCATGCCACAACTGTCAGCCATCCTCCCTCCCACACACAGCCCCCCACAAACCGCCTACCTACCCACACATCC